AAATCATTACTACTAGTAATCGCGTTGATAAAATAGTAATATTTATATCACATCATTACATTAATGATGAAGTATAGACATTACCTTTAAATTGAGTAATTGCACCTCTTTATTCCTAATCCCTAACTAATGTGGGCTCCTCTTATCCAAGAGTCGCTTTAGTAGGTAATAGGTTTTTTTTTTTTTTTTTTTTTTTTTTTTTTTGTTCAAGTAGGTAATAGCTTGAATTATAGAATTTATTTATTTATTTATATTTTTTGGGTGCTGAGGGAATGCACCAAAACCAAGGGCCAATGCAACTCCGACCCTCAGATGTATTCGTATGTGAAACTTTGATTCATTATTTATTAATTAACTAGAATGCTCTACTCTAATAAGTAATTCAAACTTAAAACATCATTTCACTAATTTTTATGTCCTTAAATATATTTAAGTATAAAAAATGAGTTTCACATAAAAACATATTTAACAGAGTAGATAATTTTTTACAATTTTCAATTAACTAAGTAAGAATATATAAAATAGGTGTTAATCCAATAATATACCTAATGGGAAGGGGAGGGACAGTCTGCGCGGGAAACTTACCTAAATATATAATAATAATAATACGGAGTAATACTTAATTAAGAAAATAAAAACTTAGCATGATGAGCATTGCTTTAAGCTTTGACACATGTCCACTTCTGGTTGGGTATAATTAGTCTTAGTCCAACACATTGGCCTGTGTATTTATATTGCCAATGAATCATTTCAAGTTCCAAGGAAAAACTGCCAAATCTATCCTTGTCGATATCATTCATTAATCACAGACCATCCTCCAAAGAGGAGTGCTGCTGTCCTTTCGCTTCTTATTCATCACAATTTTTACCATTACACGTTGGAAATGTTTTTTATCTTTAAAAAAAATTAAAAATATAATTTTTTCAGATAAAAAAAACTTAAAAATATAAATTTTTCAGATAAAATTATCATTTAATCTTTTTTTATCTCTCTCCTTTATTTTCCTCTATTCATTTTATCCCTTATATCAATAATACTCTTGATTGCCAAAAAACACTTTCAGGAATATATATTTTTCTGTCTTTTGGATTGCCAAAACAAATAATATTATAGGAATGAATTATTTTATTTCTTTTCTTAATTATATTTTAAGTGTATGTATATATATATGTGTGTGTGTGCGCACGCTTGCGCGCGCTATATATAAATTCACGTTCAATTCCTATGATCACAATACATATTATTTTCTTTCTTTTTGGATTTGCCAAAATGAATAACATTATACGAATTGAATGTGAATCCACACACACACAAATATATATATAGTTAAAATATAATTAAAAAAAGTAAATAAAATAATCGATTCCCATAATATATATTATTTGTTTTGGCCAATTCTCAATGTCTGTTTTATTGTGCAACATTGAGTTGTATTTTCGACACTGTTTTATTGTGCAAATATATATTTTGGACACAACTGATTTTGATTTTGAAGTTATTGTATTATCATTTACCATATGTTCTATAGTTTTTCATTTTTAGTAATATATATATATATATATAGAGTAATGATCTCTTGTTCCCCATGGAGTAAGAAAATTTATTTGCACTTTCTATTGAGACCGTTAAATCTAATCTAATGTTCACTATAAAAACACACCTATATTCTTTCCTTTTAATATAAAACCAGTATCACTATTTTTAGTTTCCAAATTTAACATTTACCAAACCACTAATTATAACATTATTCAAAAATATATATATAGAAAACTCTTCAGCTATGAAAATAACGTCTGTTTTAAACAAAGACCTACAAGAGTACTTTCTCTTTCTCCATACAAATTGAATTTGCAAGTTCTCTACCGCCTTTGTCTCCTTATAATAATAAGTAAATAAAAATGAATCATAATTAAAATTTAATGGATTAAAATATCTTTTTTTATTATTATTTTTTTCTTGTTTCTTGTAATTTTTTGTTGGAGAGAGACGTGATTTCCATAGAAGAAGAGGTTTCAATTTTTTTTGGGAGTAATTACCTTTTATTATTGTAATTAGTGGTATGAAAATATTAAATTTAGAAATTATAAATAGTAACAATGGTTTTATATTAAAAGAAAATGATGTAAGTAGGTTTCTATAATAATCGTTAGATTAGATCAAATGATCACTATAGAAAGTGCGGATGAATTTTCTTACTCCATCATTACTCTATATATATATATACACACACATATGTATATGTATATTTAAGAAAGTTGGCTATGGCTGTATTTTGGTCGTCGTTTTTTGTTAAGTTTGCTTCGTCACTTAGTAGCACCGGCACAAGAGCTGCTTATGTCTTCTCACAAGCGGCACAAATAGTTGGGAGCTGCTCTTTACTAGCATCTCGGTTCTGTATCCTAATTCACATACAGTTTTACCTTTGCATTTTTCTTTTTTTATTTTCTTTTATTAATTAAGTCTGTGTTGTGTGCCATTGTTGAAATTTTCATTTACTTTAGTGGAATCTTTTTATTAAAAAAAAAAAATTCATTGCATATTTGCGGTTTATGTTTTATTGTAGTCTTATTGTATTTTCTGTTGGAAAAAATTGAAAGTATTGTAAATGGTTTTGAGAGAGAAACAAAAATGAGAATTTTTAAAAAAGCAATTCGTTTTTATTGTTTTTGTTTCTCAATGTGAAACAAAATGAGATTGTAGAAATGAAATCACGGCAAAACTTTTAAATGTACTATTTTTAAATAAAATAATGATTTATTTACATAAATAGAATTTTTTTATTATTGCATTATGGTATATAGGTATATTGCTTTTGGTATGCGAAATTATGTTCATATTGCTTTTATTATTCTGAAATACTTTAGATTGGACATCCGGGAGTTATAGAATCTAGAATCTATTGGGAAATTATTTTCCATTATATTAACAAGGATTAGGTTAGGGTTGCTATATTTTTATTTCTTTGAGAACTATTAATCAAAGGTATGAGTGATATATATTATAACAATTATGATGCAGTTATTTTGGGTATAAATTTCAAATAACTCTTTTATACTTTGTACTTGAAATTCATTCATTTATCCATCTTATAAATCAGAATGTGCAATTTTCTATTTTTATTTTAAAAAAAATTCAAACAAATGCACCTGTACCGAACCGAGCATTCAAAATCAAAATCGTCTTCTTTGTAGAGAGCTCATACAATCAGGGTTAATGACCATTAATTCAACTAATAACGCTGAGGATCACCAAATATCTTCTTTTTCTTTTTGATAAATTCATTTTTGAGACATATTTACATGTCAAATCCACTAACTCAAAGGGTCAAAGTTTCCAAGAATACTATTAAGAGAACTACAATAGAGAGTGAGAAATTTTCATCAAAGGAACAACAGTTAACAATAATATGAAATTTTGTACCAAAATAATGGCAAACCTTGTAATGTAATTTACCCTAGAATATATACATATATATTGATAAATTCATTTTTGAGACATATTTACATGTCAAATCCACTAACTCAAAGGTCAAAGTTTCCAAGAATACAATTAAGAGAACTACAATAGAGAGTGAGAAATTTTCATCAAAGGAACAACAGTTAACAATAATATAATATGAAATTTTGTACCAAAATAATGGCAAACCTTGTAATGTAATTTACCCTAGAATATATACATATATATTGAAACAGCCGGAAGACCAATCATCCAAAATCACATTTGATCTGTATCATAGTAGGTGTGTAAATATATACATATATATTGAAAACATATAATCCAAAATAAATGTGCAACCTAAAAAAATATATATGGAAAACTAATATAAGAAAGAAAATCAATTTTTTTTTAGCAATTGTTTCAAATTTTCAAAATTTTAATTTTTGATTTTTGATTTTTGATTTTTTTTAATACTTTGATTCTAATTTGGCAAATATATATCATTATTAGCTTGGTGAAAGATTTAAAACTTTAATAAATAATTCTAACTAAACAAATCTCACAAGTTTTAATAAAACACAATTATTATGATTAAAATAGAGAAGTACTTTAATAATTTATATAATGAATAGTTATAGATTTTTTTATTTATAACTAAAAATATTAACATATATAATATCATTATTGTTGTTGGCATTCTTGCCATTGAGCTCTCACAATACTTTAGTTTTTATTTCTTACCATATTCCCGAGACTTGTTGATAGAAATTTATATATAATTCTAAATAATTTTCTTGTAGACACCATCTTTAGACTTTATTTGGTTACTTTATTTGGTTAGATGAAAATAGTAAGAAAAGAAAGGAAATAGGAATTTTTTAAGAAATTTTTGAGAAAAATCACTTTCCATAACCATTTAATTTTTCCATAAATTTTTTTCCAAAACTCACAAGAAAATTTTGATTTATTGAGAAAGTTTTGTGAACTTACAATACTAATGCCCTTTCTTTTATGGAAAACTACATGTTATTCAACCATAAAATAATAATTTTACAATATTTTTGGGAGGCAAATTAAAATTTATTATAAATTTTGGTATTATAAATTAAATTTATTTACAATATAAATATTTTGGAGGCTACTAAAAAAAATTTTGAAAATATTTGGGGGGTCCATGGCCACCCCTAGCCCCGCCCTCTGCTGAGAAGGAATGATTTGGAGTTTTGGAGTACCCTATCGAGATGTAGTACAATTTTATTGTGTTTAGTACTAGTTTTTATTATTTAGGTTTCTTGTTTATTTATATATAATTTTTATAGCAAGTTTAATACTGTATTCGGTAGTTTTTTCTTTTTGTCTTTATTTTTTTTTTTAGTTTCCTTATGTTATAAATTTTTTTTTAACTTCTTAGGTTTCATAATGACTAAATTTTTTTTTTATATTATAAATACGGCGTGTGTTACACCAAACATAGTCACAAGATTCAAATCCCAAAAATTTCAAAAAAAAAAAAAAAAAAAAGAGATTCAAATCCCAAGAGAGGGACGAAAAAGTTTGATTGAATGGCTGCTTCCACCGCTGCTGCTGAAATAATCGGCGGCAACAAGAAGCTGGCGGTGGAGATCCTTCAGCGTCTGCCAGCGAAATCCCTCATTCGGTTCAAGTCAGTCTCGAAAGCATGGCTCTCTTTCATCTCCGCTCCTCGCTTCTCTCTCCTCTGGCAATCCCATCATCATCCCAAAGTCTCCGGCCTTTTCTTCAACCCTAGATCCCGACCTGAAACCATCAAATACGTTCCTCTCACTCACTCCGACGACTTAAGGAATCAATGTGATATTGCAACCGTTATTAATGGTGGAGAAGAAAACAATTCACCTGCTGCTAGAATCATAGACTCTCGTAATGGTTTTCTACTTGTCTATTTTTCTAAGCTGCAGAGCTGTAGTTCCGTTTGGAGGGAGTCGTACTCGTACCACGTTTATAATCCTACTACCAAGCAATTCTCTACTCTTCCGTGGCCTTTTCCGGTCACTTTCACTTCTTTCCTTGGTGACAATGTATATTTGGTTTTCGATCCTTTAAAATCACTTCACTACAAAGTTGTTTTGGTAATTAAGGCTTCAGAGCCTGGTAGTGCCTGCTCGATTCAAATACATATTTATTCGTCAGAAACCAATGACTGGCGGAGATCACCATTAAATGGTGATTTTCATAGTGTGGACTTGAGTGAAGGAGTCTATTGCAATGGTTCCATCCATTGGCTTTCTTTCCGCGAAGAAAAAACTTCCTTATACTGGGATGTTGATCAAGAAAGATTTTGCCCAATGCCATCTCCACCGCATAACTACACTACAGGTTTTAAATGCCGGAATTTTGGGGAGTTCGGAGGTCATTTGCATTATATTAGATATTATGATAATATGGGATTCAATGTCAACGTCTTGGAGATGGAAAGTGATTACTCCAAGTGGACACCCAAGTATTCGACGACGATGGTTGTTGATCTTTCATTAGAGGTTGTCCGCATGGATACAGCGCTTAGTTTAATCCATGTTGAAGATGAAGGGGATGTGTTTTTGGTACTTCTTGTACGTACCGAGATGAATTATATGATCATCTCCTACAACATTAAGGAGAACACCTTTAAGAAGCGTGTTGATGTACCACGCCATCCTATTGCATCTTGGTATGATCTTTGGTCTGATTGTTTTCGGTGGCGTAAACACTCTTGTATCCATAGTTACATTGAGACACTCTTTCCTGTTTGATTGATCGTGGTGGTACATCTTAATCCCTTAGGGTTGGGTGGTTTCTATTTCAGTGTTCTAATTCTAGCTTCAACTCCAATCTTAAAATCTATTTACTTTATTATTTTAATTGTTTTATGTCCATCAATTTTATTATATTAATATTATTTTGTTTTATGATATTCATTGATCACTTGGGCTGTAACTATTATCCTTGTTCTACTTAGAAAAATTCTCTTATTCTTTGGGTTCACAGATGTTTACTTGGTTGTGTTGCTATTATACTACTTTACTAATTTTCTTTCAAAAACAGATACTTACCCCCACATCTCCAATTCAAAAGAGCCCTTTAATTTTAATTACATTCACAGAAAAGTTATCAAGAAGAACAGTTAGAGGTGATAAATTTGTATTCGTGTCACGTTGAAATAAAAGTATTTTATTATATGAGTTAACTCAAATATGATTCATTAGAAATTGGTTATTCTCATGAAATTGGTCACGCCTATCATATTCAAAGGCCTTAACATGTTAGAGCAAGTTTTTGAACGATTCACATTCTAGGTACTTTATTCAAAAAATTATATACAATAGTATATACAATTTTCTCCAACTTCATTATTTCTATGTATAATCACAGTGCATAAACATATTGACTTAAAATTGTGAAATAACTAAAAAAAAATTTATTTAATAACAATCAATCAGAAAATTAGCAAAGAGTGTCCCACTCCATGAACAGAATGATTTTGTGACATGTCTTTCTAAGGGATTGATGAATAATATTTTAATACCACACCACTCATTTTTTTTTTTTTTTTGGGAACTTTAAGCGTTAAACTTCTATTTTCAAGAGTCAACTACAATACAACTCCATGGTGACTGTGTCATGACTCATAACTCCATTTGAAATGAACAATTGCTATCTTAGGAAGAGGAAGATGAAGAGGAAGAAGCAGCCGGAAGACCAATCATCCAAAATCACATCCATAAATTTAGAAGGATTAGCGGAAGCAAAAGGCCAAGTACGAAGTGTTTCAAGCAGGTAAACTTTTATCTCATAGGAGTTCATTTGTTAAATACAAAAGATAATTCTTTTTTTATTTTTATTTTTTTATTTTTTATTTTTATAATTGCTTGACTACTACAAAAATTCTCATTTCAGCATTACATAACCATGGCTTCAATCTCAAACAATGGGAGTTGTATCTGATCTGTATCATAGTAGGTGTGTAAATATACATATATATTGAAAATATATAATCCAAAAAAAAAGTGCAACCTAAAAAAATATATATGGAAAACTAATATAAGAAAGAAAATCAAATTTTCTTTAGTAATTGTCTCAAATTTTCAAAATTTTAATTTTGATTTTTTTTTTTTTGAATACTTTGATTTTAATTTGGCAAATATATATCATTATTAGCTTGATGAAAGATTTAAAAACTTTAATAAATAATTCTAACTAAACAAATCTCACAAGTTTTAATAAAACACAATTATTATGATTAAAATGGAGAAGTATTTTAATAATTTATATAATGAGTAGTTATAGATTTTTTTATTTTTATTTATAACTAAAAAGATTAACATATATAATAGGGTTAAGTGCAAAAAAAACCTCTAAACTATTACCCTTTTGCAAATAACTCCTCTGAACTAAAAACCGCTCCCTGAACTATTGATTTGTTGCAATTAAGGACAAATTCATCACAAAAGACTATTTTACCCTTTCTCATTAAAATTTTCCACTTCTTATTAAATTATTTATATTATCTTTTCTCTTATATAAATATTAATTATACTATTTACCTTAATTTTATTTTTAGTATCAAATTATTGTAAAAATGAAAAAAAAAATAATAAATGGATTTGTAACTACCATATTCTAAATTGATTAACTTATTATTAAAATTTTATTATTTATAATAAAACATATCATAACCAATTTAAATATTTTTATCGTAAAAAAAATATCATCCTTTTCATACAATATATTGATGAAAATTTAATAAAATACTTTTAAAAAAATACCTTCTTTTCATGTAATATAATCATTAAAAATTAAAAAATTAATTGATTTTTAAAAAAAATTTGTACTAAATTTTTTTATTTTAATAATTAATTTAAAAAATTAAAGGTAAATTTGTGCAAATTTAATGGAAAATATCTCTTCAAATTAGTATGATTTTTTTCATAATTTATTTAAATAAGAAAAATATATTAAATGTAATTCAATAGGAAGGAGTATTATGGTCATTTAATAAAATATAATATAGTCTTTGGGATATGTTGCAACAAAATAAGATAGTTAAGGGAGTTTTATGCACAAAATATAGTTCAAGCGGGTTATTTGCAAATTCAAACATAGTTCAAGGGATTTTTTTATACACTTTACCCTATATAATATCATTATTGTTGTTGGCATTCTTGCTATTGTGCTCTCACAGTACTTTAGTTTTTCTTTCTTCTCACACTCCCTAGACTTGTTGATAGACATTTATATATAATTCTAAATAATTTTCTTATAAACACCATCTTTAGACTTCATTTGGTTGGATGAAAATAGTAAGAAAAGAAAGTAAATGAAATTTTTTAAAACATTTTAGGAGTTTTGTTAGCAAGAAAAGTAAAATGTTTGAGGAAAATCATTTTCCATAACTATTTAATTTTCCCATAAATTTTTTTTCCAAAAATCACATGAAAATTTTGATTTATTGAGAAAGTTTTGTGAACTTACAATATTAATGCCCTTTCTTTTATGGAAAATTACATGCTATTTTACCATAAAATAATAATTTTACAATATTGGAGGGGGATTAGAATTTATTATAAATTTTGGGATTATAAATTAAATTTATTTACAATATAAATATTTTGAAGGGTACTAAAAAAATTGAAATTTTTTGGAGGGGCAATGGCCACCCATGGCCCCCTACCAGCTCCGCCCCTGCCTATTGAGATGTAGTTCAATTTTATTGTATTTAATACTATATTTTATTAGTTAGGTTTCTTGTTTATTTATATATAATTTTTAGGGTTAATTACAAAAAAAATTCGTAAACTATTAGGAAATATGCAACAAATCCCTTTAAATTATAAAAATTGCAAAAAATCCACTGAATTTTACATTTTAATTACAAATTAGTCCATCCGGCGATGCTCCAGTTAATATAACCGGAAAAAGTAGCAAGTGCGATCACGATCACGTGACCAATATTTAAAACTAAAATTCCATAATACCCTTGTAAGCATTAAAGTACAATAATACCCTTTTATTATTATTATTATTATTATTATTATTATTTTTTGTATAAGTTAAACCAAAACACCTGATCACCCAAACACCACCTAAGACATAACCTCTGCATTATCAGTCACGAAAACCCAACTAGATCCAGTGACAGCTTCATCAAGTTGTATGCTTCTTCCTCAATATCCTTTTCAGTATAGAGGACAACCTAATTGTCTGCTTCATCAAACTCCAATTCCTCCTCAATCATGACTGAATCGAGCGTGAAAAGGTAACCGATGGCGGCACCGGAGGAGGAGCATCGAGGTTCAAAAACAGAATATATATGTGTGCTTGTGTGTGTATATATGTATATTGTTGTTTTGATTTTTACAGAAAAGTTAGGCCAAATAGGAGCAAGAAAGTTGAAGAGATGGGTTAAATCACTCACTCCCTTTATATATATATCGTTCTATATGTATAGACCTTTCTTCCTCAAAAATTCATAATTCTCACTCTCTCTAACTGTAATATATATATATATATATATATATATATATATATATATCACTCTATATATCAGATTGAATTCCCCGTATGAACTACCTGGTATTGCAATTCTTTCCAACACTGATTGTCCAAAGAACCTCCAAAACCCTCTGGTCTCATTGATCCCAATCTCCATAACCGAAACCCTAATCTTAGATTTCTCAACCCACCCAATTATTCTCACGCTGATACTGCTCTCAAATTAAGTAATTTCCATCCAAAATCACCAAACTCCAAATCGATTAAAGACAAAATAAATAAATAAATAAAAATAAAATAAATCAGTCACTCATCTCTATTACTCATATATATATATATATATATATATATATATATATATTAGAGAGAACGAACGACACTAATGATCTCCGTCGGACCGTCACCTTCCTAACCCTTTCGGCGACCTCGACTTCGGTAGCTTTTCCATTGATGCCATGATCTTCCTCTCCAAAGCCATTGTTTGCATCAAATTCGCCAAAGGAATTGTTTGGTTGATGCCAAAAATGATAACTGTCTGTGGAAAAGTGATTAGGTTGGTTGTGTTGTGAAATAATCATTGGTTGTTGAGATTACAATTGCCACCTCATTTGATTCAGTTTGCAGATTGTCTCCCACTTTGTCATTTTATGTAAGGGTAATCTTGTTTTCCTATCAACTCATGTACCGGAGTGTCCTTGATCGCAATAAATTTATAGTTTATAGAAAATTTTTATAATTCAAGAGTCCTAATTGTAATATATTATTAATTTAGGGAGATTTTTTTTGCATTTAACTCTAATTTTGAAAGCAAGTTTTATATTAACTAGTGTTTTTTTTTTTTTTTTTTTTCTTTTTCAATTTTCTTATGTTATAAATTTTCTTTTAACTTCTTAGGTTTTCTAATGACTAAATTTTTATTTATTATAAACACGTGGTCGCCAAGCATAGCATTAAACTACTTTACTCTTGGGATCTTACTGAAATTCAATAAGATTAACGAAAACAAAAAAATTTCTTTCAAAAACAGATAGCAAAAGATAAAAATTCCTTACCCTCCACATCTCCAATTCAAAAGAGCCCTTTAATTTTAATTACGGCTAAAAAAAAAAAAGAAAAAGAAACCACACAGAAAAGTTATCAAGAAGAACAGTTCTATTGATGCCAACTGGTTATACAACAACTTACATACCACGTAAAAAATATGGTAAAATATTTATGACGAAAAAAAATATTAAAATTTAACAAAAATAATTTTTTCATAAATTTTTGGCAAGTTATTTTTCATGTTCCGCCCGATGGACTCGACTTAAACCTCGATATTGACCTTTGTCAAACATCATCAAAGTAAAAATATTCTTAAGATTAAAGACCAACGTCTTGGGGCTAACGTGGGATCCGCTCAAGGACTTACTAGTTTAGGTAAATATCTAATGCGTTCCCCGACTGGAGAAGTCATTTTTGGAGGAGAAACCATGCGTTTTTGGGATCTGCGTGCCCCCTGGTTAGAACCTTTAAGGGGTCCAATTGGGTTGGACTTAAGTAGGCTAAAATAAAAAATAATTAATCTTGGACAGTTTATTTGCGAAAATGTATGTATAGCCAAAAACGGACCACACCTAAAATCGGGTCAAGTTCTAATTGTTCAAATTGACTCATTAGTAATACGATCAGCTAAGCCTTATTTGGCTACCCTAGGAGCAACTGTTCATGGCCATTATGGTGAAACCCTTTACGAAGGAGATACACTAGTTACATTTATATATGAAAAATCGAGATCTCGAGTCTATTCCATCTTAGCGTCCGCCCGCCTCAACGTCTGAGTCATTTTGAATTATTCGCTTAATTTTTGATGAACTTCTTTTCGCTTTAAGGGGATTTTATTTTTTTTATCTAACCAAATTGATGAATTACTCCTAAAGGTTTACATCAAAATAGTGCTAGTTGATGAGAGTTATTTCGAAAACAAAAAGAGTAAAGTCAAATTCATTTGGGTTATTCTCTCAATTCCAATAAAATACAACCGGATCTAGGAATTTATCGAACGAACCGCACTCCTTCGTATACGTCAGGAGTCCATTGATGAGAAGGGTCTAGAGAAAGCTTGAACCCAATTCCTACAGTGATGAATATAAGCGCAATTGAAATTCCTAGGTTCCATGCAATTTCGAATACTTGAACGGTCGATTCTTTTTTTTCGTCTTAACTTCCGCCAAGCTCGACGTTGACCTTGTTGGGAGAGATGACAATAAACAAACATAGCGGAATAATTCTTCTCCCTATATGCAAGCA